CCGTGGTAGCGCACGCCTGTAATTCCGGCTACTCGGAAGGCTGAGGAGGAAGGATCGCCGGAGCTCAGCAGGTCGAGGCTGCGGTGGCCGGGAGCGGCCACTGCACTCCAGTCTGGGCGACCAAGTGAGACTCCAACTCAAAAAAAATAAAATAAAATAAAATGAATTAAATTAAATAAAGTAAAATAAAATAAACAATAAGCATGTATACACACATATACATACACACACAGAGAGTATCTCCCTATCTCCCAACCTTTTGGCCACAACATGGCTGAGCAGAATGGTTGAAGAACACCCTCAGGCAACCTCCACTTTTTGAAAGGACACTGATCGTGCGAAAGGTCTTTCCACATACCAGGGGCCTCACCTCAGAGTCCCCGTACCTTGCTACCTGCTGGACTGTTCTTGGTCTGTGATGAGATTATGGCTGTGGCAGTGACTAGTGTCCTCCCCGACCTGAGAAGCTGTGTTTTACCGTCTTGGTGTACAATTTGCCCAACACCTCCCCAACAGTTAGATGACCTTGTCTGGTTTTTAATCTCTCTTTTTGCCAGGGTGCCCATGGAAACCAGATGACAGATGGGGAATCACTTCTGAGGCTTGAGATACATCAGATGGCAACTTCCTTTTCTTCCCTGACAGGGCCCAGCACCAGATGTTGCTGATAGGCTTTGGTATGCAAGCTCCCACAGTGGCCACAAGTGCCAGGTCCACATCTCAAACTGTCTCAGCAAGGAGGCCAGTGCCACAGCTAGGAGAGGGGGACACTACAGCTTTCTTTCTCAGCAAATATTCCATCTTGCAATTTGCTTTTGTTAGAATTTCACCACAGAAAACTCTAAAATACAGATAAATGTTAAACTGGTCAAAATATAAGCACTGAAAAATAACTATAACAACCATTTTCAGATATATATTTTTTCAGACATATTAAACGTAAGAATTACCAAAAGTAATATACAACAAAACAAACAAACAAAAAACAGGATAAGGGAACTGCATTTAACAAATGATTTTCCATATTAACAAGTCTTTAAATATGCTGCTGTGTGAATTTCAGTCCCCTAGGTTGGGCACTCATGTTGTTTCCAATTTCTCACCATTATAAAGAAACTATGGGCTGGGTTTGGTGGCTCAGCCTGTAATCCCAGCTCTTTAGGAGGCAGAGGCGAGTGGTCTGCCTGAGCCCATGGGCTTGAGACCAGCCCGAGCCACTTGGTGAGACCTTGTCTCTACAATAAATAAAAAAATTAGCCGGACATGGTAGCACGTGCCTGTAGTTCCAGCTACTTGGAAGGCTGAGGGACAAGGATCACCAGAGCCCAGCGGGTCAATGCTGGAGTGGCCATGAGTGTGCCACTATACTCCAGCCTGGGCGATGGAGACTACAACTCAAGAAAAAAAAAAAAACTGTGATGAACATCCTAGAAGAAACACCTTTGCTCACTAATTCAATTATATCCTTAGGTTATATCCCTGGAAGTTTCTAATCCTAATTTTTTAAATATCCCAGCATCCTCTGTTTCCTTAATATAGGCTCTTTAATGGAATGAAATACCCCACTTATATACTTATAAATGCCACAAACATTCCCCAAAGTACTTGGTGCACCGAACAGGGAAAGGTTATCTAACCAGACAGAAAAATATCAAATCCAAAGGAGCTCAGCACCTTGTCCCTTCTACACAGCCTGTCTGGAAGCTGACCACTGTGGCAAAACATTTCCTGTTCTTAAACCAAAGAGCAGACTACTACCCTGCTTTTAGAACATTCATGTGTACAATCAAGGAATATGTGAGCACCTATTATGTATCAGGCATTGTTCATGGTGCTAGAGACATAGCAGAGTACAAAATCCCTGTCCCCACAGTTTGCCCAATAGTAATATTTGGATAGTTGGCCTGAAGGTGGTGTCTACTCCTTTTTGCTTCCCTGTTGTTTCCAAACATTTTTCTACATAGTATGTATTAACCTATGAAAATAACAATACAAAAAAATAAACACAGAAATGTATGTATATATTTAGTTTTACCTTATGAAATCTCTCTTTTCTGGGAGATTAACGTTAGATACCCCCTTTTTCCTTCCTTTTCTTTCTTTCTTTTTTTTTTTTTCTGTGAGTCAGTGTCTCACTCTGTCATCCAGGCTGGAATGCAGTGGCACAAACATGATTCACAGCAACCTTGACCTCCTGGTCTCAGGTAGGTGGCACTACAGACGTGTGCTACCACACCTGGCTAATTTTTTAATTTTTTAGTAGAAATGAGGTCTTGCTACGTTGCCTAGACTGGTCTTGAACTCTTGGGCTCAAGCAGTCCTTCCATCTCAGCCTTCCACTGTGCAGTGATTACAGACATGAGCCACTACACTCAGCCAGATACTACCATTGTCAATGTTAAAACCCCTTGTTAACTGCACATATGAGCTACAGTAGAAATTTCCTCAGTGTTCCATTTCAAGTGTCTGCTTTGTTGCTCTGCAGACCCACAGAGCTGTTTCCAGGGAGACTTACCTTGTATTGAAGAGAGCAGCCTTTACAGCAATGGAAATGGCATCAAACAAATTTCCACCACACTCCAGCAGCTAACAGAAACAGGGATTGAGGAGGGAAGAAAAAAGAAAAATATCACTTATTACTTTTAAGTATTACCCCCAGTTAATGGACACTGGTTTCTAAAAATGTTGACTGAGTGTTTATAAAAAAAGATAACATGTGGCTGCTTTCCTGGCTCGCCATGCTTGATAACAGCTTGCTGCCAAAGTGTGTTTACCCTAATTACAAGTGCTGTCTTGTCATGGCTGTGTTTACACGGGCCAACCATGCCAGGTCACAGTTGGTCATAGCTATGAAACCAACTCTTGGGGGCCTCCTCTTGCCATGGGGCTCCTCTCATAGGCACTCAGCCCATTGGCCCTGCACTGAAGGTGGGACCGATAACCTTTATTTTGCCCCAAGTAGCTCCCAAGTGACTCCAATCTTTGCTAACATATGCCTGGTCTCCAAACAACTGTAAAATAATGACTATTGATGCTGCAGCTGCTACCAGGTTCACACTTGCCAGTGGGGTAACCACTAGTATGTAATGAGAGTACACCTGACGTTCAGACACAAAATACTACCTGTCTTCCATTAATTGTAATGAAAATAAAGTTTCTCATATAAGCTTCTGCCCATAAGTCGAGGTATTGGGTACACTTCCATGTGCTCAGCTAACAGGGATGGTTAGAGCATGTCATTAAGTGGAGGATGCTTAGGAGGGGCCTTGACCTGAGCTCAGGGAAGAAAGTGCTACCCTAAGTGAGAAGGAAGAGAAGGCATGTGTAAAAGGAAAAGCCACCCGTTTGTGTGTTTTTGTTTAGAGCCTGTCTCCTGTTCATCCGAACTGTGAGCTCCAAAAGGCTGGGAACTCTGTGGTTTTCTTCACCACTTTATCCCTCGAGCCCAACAAAAAGGTTGCTGCTGTGAAGGAGGCAACTGGTGATTATTTATAAAAGATAAGGCAGGCCCTAAGCCTGGGCCTTCTAAACTCAACTAAGTCAGAGTCAGTGCTTGTACCCAAAATGTCCTATCACACACATCATTCATGCCAGTGCAAATCTCATGTGCCCACCTTTAAAGCATTCCAAGCAAAGCTCAAGTCCAGACACACTCTTTCCTAAAGCCTTGCATAATACTGCTTATTAAAATATGATCCCCAGCCAGCTGGGCACAGTGGCTTATGCCTGTAATCCTAGCACTTTAGGAGGCCAAGGCGAGAGGCTTGCCTGAGCCCAGGGTTTTGAGACCAGCCTGGGCAACATGGCTAGACCTCATCTCTACAGTAGATCAAAAATTAGCCAGGCATGGTGGCGTGTACCTGTAGTCCCAGCTACTCAGGAGCTGAGGAGGGAGGATCACCTGAGCCCAGGAGGTCAAGGCTATGGTGAACTGTGGTCATGGTGTTACACTCCAACCTGGGGAACAGAGTGAGACTCCAACCCAAAAACAAAGCAAAACAAACCCTAAAATATGATCCCTAGCCTATGTTACCACCTGGCTTTGTAACTGCAACTCTTTTACTTAGCCACTGGACTAGCTCTTCTCTGCTCTGGTGACTGTTCAGACATAGACTGTTACACAGCCAAGGGGCTCAGGGCCAGCCTGGATTTGACTCCTGCCTTCACCAGTTAGTTGAATGACCCTGGGTAGTACTTAGCCTCTCTGGGTCACCTGTGGAGGATAAAAATCACCCTTAGCCGGGCTCAGTGGCTCAGTCTGTAATCCCGTGCCTTGGGAGGCTGAGGTGAGTGAATTGCCTAAGCCCTTGGTGAGACCGCATCTCTATAATAAATCAAAAAATTAGCCGGGTGTGGTAGCACGTGCCTGTAGTTCCAGCTACTTGGAAGGCTGAGGCGGAAGGATCGCCAGAGCCCAGCAGGTTGAGGCTGTGGTGGCCGGGAGTGGCCACTGCACTCCAGTCTGGATGACAGAGTGAGACTCCAACTCAAAAACACAAACAAACAAACAAAAAAAAACCACACTTATCTCAGAGTTGTTACAAAGGTAGAATGACAATATCTATAAAGTCCTTAGATGTGTCTAGCACACAGTCAGCATTAGCTAAGTGTTTTAAAATAAATGTTGACTTGCTCTTCCATTTCCAGCTGTCCCTCACAAACTTTCTGGGGAGGCTGCATGCTCTCTGGCTTCATCGCTGACAGCTGAGGTTCTTAACCCTGAGGTTTCTCACCTTGGCTATGCATCAGCAACACCCGGGGAGCCAATTAAAAATGCAGGAGAGAGCAACTCCTTAGGGTCCCCTCCCACTGTGGGAGCTTTTTCTATCCTCTCAATGATTCCCGCTTTCAAAAAAAAAAAAAAAATGCAGGAGAGGCCTCCAGGTGGGCCTGCTGACCAGCCAGGGGCTGAAGTCCCTCATTTTACACTCTGCTCCACAGTATCTGCTTTATGCCAAGAAAGTGCTGAGTAAATGCTTATGTCTGTTCTGGCAGTTATGGAGCCACCATGTTTCTAGAGGATCCTGGGGAGCAATTCACCCCTCCCTTACTTTACAAGTGAGGAACGCTCCCACATGTGGTAACTGATTCCCTGTCCAGTGTTCTTTTTACGGTCCTGAGCAGCATCCCATTACAGTTGGACACAAACGCTGATGTCCAACATTCTAGCTTGTCACCAAGACATTAAATCAAGAGGGCAGGCCAGGTGTGATGGCTCATGCCTATAAGTCTAGTACTTTGGGAGGCTGAGGCAGGACTTGAGGATTTGAGGTCAGGAGTTCAAGGCTAGCCTGGGCAACAAAGCAAAACCCTATCTCTACAAAAAAAAAAAAAAAAAAAATCAAGAGGGTGGAATGCTAAAATAAATCCCATATATCTGCTGGAGGCACCCTGGAAGGACAAGCACCAATCAGTCTGGTGCAAAGGATGAGTCCACCTCCTGGTCTCAGGTCTGCCTGTCCAGACTCCTCATGGCATATCACACCACAGGATAACTCCCTGCGCTCCCTGGAATCAGGCAGTGTGGGGGCTGAAACTCATCCTTGCCACTTGCTGGCTATGTGTCTTGAGCTTTGATTTCCCCCTCCATAAAGCAAAGTCAGTTTCTCTCTAGGGTGGCTGTGAAGATTAAAGGAGAGCCCATCCTTAACATTCCTGGCCCACGATAGGTACCCACAGATCCTACTTTCCTTCCTCTGCTGCTGGGCAGGCCCAGTCTAGCAAGATCCTTTTTGGTAAATATACTAGTACAGCTAAGAAGCAGGAAGGAGGGTGAGTGATATATGGAAACCTTAGGCAGCCAGACTTGGCTCCCTGCATAGGCCCAGAGCAAGCCAGGCAGAAAATGGGAGGCACAGGACATCTAGTGCTGCAGAGAGACACCCCAGGACTGTGGTTCCAGGGCAAGTTGTAGGTGTCTATCCTCTCCAGGGGACGAAATTCCTCCCGTGACAGAGTTGGGAAAGGAGCAGCTCTGGAGAATGGGAAGACATACTTGGTCACAAACATACCTTTCTCTTTCTGATGCATACATCCTAGAATGGTTGTTTTAAGGCGACTGCACAACTTAATTCTGCAGCATTCTGGGAGGAGGGGCTTCTTTCATAAGGTAACCTTCCAAAACACACTGCTAAGAAACACAACCTACCAAGTGGAAAACATGTTTCCCCACAGAGAACCTGCTCCTGCTCCTTCTAAACTTTCCCTCATGACCTCTGAGGCTCAGCACTTTCTGCAACCCCTACCGCCAGCTGCAGCATGCTGCGATGACTCCCCAGTCCCTTCCTTCCCATGCCCAAGGTCACGGACCACATACTGCTTCTCATTGCCACTGCCAGAGCCCACTGAAGGACAGGCTTGTGACCAAGCTTCCCACCAAAGTTCACCTGTATGTTGTTAGGCAACACAGGCCTAACAGTTAAATTCCACTCGGGGTTAAAAACTGAAGCCATTAGACAACTATGAAGAGAAGAGAAAAGTGAAATTTCCATGAAGTTAAATTTTCATTTTCATGAAATAAACCAGTTGGGGAAAAACACAATACTAAAAATAGGAAGTTCACTGGACTATAGTAAGTTTTAAGTAAGTATGCCTGTAGTAAAAGTATGAAACATGGGAGGTACCAGCGAATATCTGTTTGGAGATGGGCTCTGCCTGAGCACTGCCCAGACCAGGTGGGAAACACAAATCCGGAGATTCATTTTCCACAGTCCCAGTGACAAGACTGGATTTCCACTATCTTGCTTCAAACGTGGACTCAATATGTTCAGTATGTCTTTAGATTTAGGATAAAAACACATTCCCTAAACAAAAGTTTATCCCTCACCTCACATGCATGAAGCACATTTCCATCAAGGCTGACAGCAAACATTTGCTTTCATGGAAGGGGACCGTACCAATGATACAAATTACCTGAAGGACCTCATTAATAATGAAATTTTAAAAAATGCTTTCTAAGTCATTAAAACTTTTCTGAAAATGCCATTTCAAAAGCTCATGTCTTCTTCCAAAATAAACAAAAGAATTATCCCCAGATGACAGAGACACAGCACATATTGCCCAGGGTACTCCTGCTCACCACACATCCCCTGCTCATGGAAGAAGAGGGCTGTTTCTGAGCTGAGATGATATCCCTATAGTCAGTGTTGCAAAAGTCATCTCTAATATGCCAGGGGCAGGGGCTCATGTTTGTAATCCCAGCACCTTGGGAGATGAGAGGATTGTCTGAGCCCAGGGGTTCGAGATCAGTCTGGGCAACTTGGTGAGACTTCATCTCTACAATAAATCAAAAACATTAGACAGGCGTGGTAGCCCACACCTGTAGTTCCAAGCTACTTGGAAGGCTGAGGTGGAAGAATCGCCTGAACCCAGCAGGTTGAGGTTGCAGTGGCCATGAGCATGCT